ATGGTCAGTTAGGATATGGGTATCTTACTGGTTGGCAGGGGACAGCTAGGATATGGATATATTACTGGTGGATAGTGATAAACAACATGGAGGAGATGCGTGGAAAGGGACACGAGAGAGATGAAGCTCACTTGGAACGAGCTTGGAAGGATGGCTCAGGACAGAGATAAATGGAAGGAGCTTGTATGTGGCCTATACCCTGCCAGGGGTGAAGTCATTGATGATGATGATGAGTGATAAACAAGGACATGGGATACCTCACCAATGGATGGTTAGGACATGGATATCTTACTGGTGGGCAGTGGACAGCTAGGATATGTATATATTACTGGTTGATAGTGATAAATAAGGACATGGGATATCTCACCAATGGATGGTTAGGACATGGGATATCTCCTCGGAGGACAATGGCGAGATAAGACATCTATATCTCACCAGTGGTCGCATAGGATATGGATAATCTTAGCCTGAACATGGGTATCTCAGTTAGGACAATAGAAAGTCAGGGTTGGTAATTAGGACATCTTCCAGTAGGTGGTTGGCGGGTGCTCTGGTGTGGTTTGCTTCTTCTTTCCATCAAAGATCTACAGTCTTTATCTCCCCTTTTTCTTTTTCATGTTTGTTACTCTCTTGTAACACTTCTAATCTTCTGGCGCTCATATGACCTTATGCAGTTGCGACCGCCGTAAAACCTCTACTAAAACTAGGACATCTTCCTCTGAGGAAGGCAGAGAAGGAGATGGGAGGACAACATTACAAAGAGGACAGGAAAGACTGTGACAATCTGAGGAAAGCAGAGGACAAAGACAAATGGCGAGAGCTGGTTTTCAGATGCAGTGGCGTCCCCACGGTTTCCCCAACCACGGGATAGAAGAAGAAGAATTAGGACATGAATGTCTCACAAGTGGACAGTTGGGAAATGGATATTTCATAGGTTGATATTTGGTCGCTTTTACGGATACACGGGCTAGCCCAGATTTCATGTTTTCCTGAAATCTTGACCTACACGAAAAGTTGGAATCTGCCCTATCTATAGGAGATGTTTGCTTTCATTGGTGTGTGTATATGTGTTTGGTTGTAGAGAAAACTCTCCTTGTCTTTTAAAGAAACAGAACGAGTCCAAAAACTTAATCTTCGGTTTTCTCAAAACAGTATTTTTTCGGGATAGCCCCCTTGACCTTAAAAGCGACCATTTAAGACAAGGATTTCTAAGTGGTGGACAGCGGTCGGTTATGGCATGGCAATCTCAGAGGTGAACAATTTAGATATGAAAGGCCACAGCACACTATACCAGATGAACTACTGCTTGCTTCATCAAATGTGACTCGGCATCCATTTGAACCAATCACATTAATTAAGCATGAATGGAAAAGACCTGACCAACACAACGCTGAGTAGCTGTCGGATTGGCTGTCACACTATTTTGCGAAATTAAACCAGATCTTGACCCAATAAATCAAATGTGTTCTATTTTATTTCATTTTTTAAATTGATGTCAGCGGTGGACAGCGAACAGCCAGAGCATGGAAATCTCACTCAAAGGAAATACGATTTAAAACATAGATACCTTTTTCCAAAAAAATACATTTATGCATGTCGTTGTGGTACTGAGCTTTAGAGCTTTATGTTTGAGTGTTTGTGTGTGTGTGTGTGTGTGTGTGTGTGTGTGTGTGTGTGTGTGTGTGTGTGTGTATGTGTGTGTGTGTG